TCTAATTAACGCCTTGATTGGAATTCACTGTGGGAATTCGCACCGTTAAATCCAGCGAACTGATCGAGAACATAGTCCATTCACCATTCAGATTATCATATCTTATACGTGGTCATCTATGGTCTTGGAAAAATTGGGAAGGAATTGGGACCTTTTTGACCTTTTCCTTTGTCAATCCTGCTCTCTTAATAGGTTCATCACTCGAATACCTTCTCGTGAACATGAGTTGCTTCTTGCAACGCATGGAGCAAGGACTTGTGAAGCTGCTCCCTTCAGTAGTTGCTTGAGCTTTTATCTGCCATGGTTACGGTAGACAAGGGTCGAGAATCCCGAGTCTCACATTTTTTTTTTCCAGGAAACATACTTAGGCTAGACATTAGTCAGAACGATACTTGACGGTTCCATCTCGGTTTATCTTAGAAACTCCAACACCAGAGTGGAGAGGAGTGAGTGTCGATTGGAAGTGTAGCTTTCGGTAGTAACTGAGTTTTGTAAGAAACAAAGAAAACAGAAATGCAAATAGTTTTGCATGCGGTTAGCCCGCCAGCACTACAAAACGCTGATGTCTGTATCAAAACCGGTTGACAGATTTTGCTTAGGCCGTTCCATTTTAGTTCGAAGTGGCATAACCTCTAAGATAGGTTCCTTTTCGTTTTTCTTCATTTTTTCGACCCCTCTAGACATCATATCGGTGATGTCCCTTCTCGCACTTGATCTTATGTGCTTACCGCAGAGATCTATCATCAGAGCTACATAGTCTACATGTGGCGCGACAAAAATACTCGAAATAAAAGCAAAAAATCTGGACATCGTCGATCAGATAGTCTCCGCTGCTTCAAGTCCCATGCAAGGTTATGAGGTTAAATTGCTCGGTATCCAGTAGGGTAACCAATGAGGAGTGCAGAACGTCTAGACAAACGCTTCGCAATCCTCACCCTGTCGTTCGTCCACATACACAATCGACAAACCCAGTGCTCTCGCGCTTTCCGTAAGCTCTTCTCACCGCTTGCTATTAATTGAACACAATTAACGTCATCGATGAGCGCTGAAGAGCACCATCAGCGCGTTCCTCCCACCGGGCAGCGACAGCGGTCGCCTTGCCTATTAATTTCCGTTTCCTGATCCCATCTCTAGCTCTGTTGCCGTCAGTCAAGCTAATTATACATTTCTGCGGTTTACGATTTCCACTGATAAAGTTGTTGTATTTTATTCTCAAGATATGAATCCTTCAACTTCCGAATGCATTAAAATTTGAATAAGAATTAAGAGGCTGGAATTACGTTTTTTTTTGATCGGGGCTAAACTGCGCAACACCCTAAAAAATGTCCCGATTGAGAGTGTCAGTGACCTGTCAGAAGAGCAAATTGTATCCAAACGCTATTCATAGCACACTGTCCTTAAATCACAAACAGGGTTAAGCATTCGGAAGTTGCATTAGAGGCGATTTCAATCAAGGTGACAATGGCCCGAGTGAAGTATTCAATAGGGGGAAGTAGATGCTCAAAAGGGATCGTAAGCGCAAGGATCAACAAGGGTCGTAGCGGTGCTGCTGCCAGCGGAGCATTTCTGTGGCAACGGCGCTGCCTTCCTCTTGTGCACCTAGAGCTAAAATTTTTGCTATAGAACCGGATATGTGGAGGGGCAGAAGGGGTCGTATCGGGATCTCCATTGAGGGAGGGAAGAGCTCGTAAGGACGCGGCCTTTTTCTCAACACAGCTTTTCGCCCTGATTCCTGTGGTAGGGTTAGCAGTGGAGGATTTGTCAAGGATTGTTTTCTATGTCTATGCAGTAGGTGTCTGAGAAGTTTTGGCTTTCACTGTTTTGGAATATATAGCTCCTGCCCGCAAGACAGTTCTTTCGAGCTCCTATAAAACCTACAATACTCCAAAATTTTTACATACATCCATTGTCTTTAAATTCGTTTTCAATGCCCTCGATTTTTAATTCTTAGATGGAGTTACAACAGAAATTAGTAGTATCTTGATCAATCTTACCCATAACACCTGGGTCGAGCTACTCAGGAGGCGTGTCTCAAACCCTTGTCGATAATTATGGGCGGAAGTTACGATTAAAAGGCACCATTAGAGTTAAGGCAGAGGTGGTCATCGGTGCTGGGATGACGAAAAAATCATGAGAATGGCCCAGAACCCGAAAATGGTCCCCTCCTTGCCAGCTGATTTTTGCATTGACGCGACCCTCATCGGAACTGCCCTTTTCAACGCTAAGGCTCTCTCTGCTGAACGGCTGATCTTCAGCGAATGGTTAGCAAGTCTGTGGGCGTGCCTTGTCTACAGTGGTGCGAATACGGACATGCTACATCACTGAAGCATATCCTTCGCTGCTAGTTGCGTGTTTTTTCGCACCTTTAGCGTATAAGCCCCTTCCACTAGGTGAGTTTCCCCTTCGGCCATGTCCTGAAATGCTCCCTTATGAACGAAACTAGTATTAGGAAGAAGAAAATTACAAAAGATCAATTAATGCTCATCACTTCTTTCATGCCCAGCGAGGAGTTTTTTTTTCTTTTACTTACTCGTCATTGAATGCTTATCCATATTACTTTATTGGAGTAGGAAACTTTTCTCGGAATTTCTACTAAAGCCTGCAATTTTTCATTTCTATGCCATTTTTTGAGCGAAAATGGGTCAATGCCGAGTCACTGAAATGTTTCCTCTCATAAGCAGGAGCCGTCATCCTGGAAAGTGGCTATCGGTGGCATTGTACTAACATATTAGTCCCACTTATGTAATGTTTGGGAAGAGACTGCTTACTGTAGAAACCAGGCCCCTTATGACAGCTGCTGTGCTTTTCCTCGAATTTCACAATCCTCATATGGAAAGGTTTTGTTGATTTTGCTTCTCACTTGATACGCTCACAGGCAACGTCAGCAAGTAAAGGCTTTTTGCTGCGCACACCTGCGTCACACCACATGTGTTGTGGATTGCCATTGACCAATGTTCTTTTCCGGCGGTTTAGCCTAGACTTCACAAATGCAAGCTGGAAGAGTTGATTGTTTTTGAAAGGGAAGCTATTTCTGGCGGGCTGGCTGGCAGAACCAGCTTCACAAACCCATGATCAGCGTGTGAAATCGTCATAGGCCATCAGTAAAAGGACATTTTGGACATAGCATTTTGCTCCAGAAGTTCCCCCGTTCTTTTGCTGCGATTCCGCACATTTTCGTAGATTCAGGAAAATCTTGAATGGCGTGTGAATCTGATTGAGAGGCTTTCAATTCAAAATATCGCTTTGCAATAACATCCTTTATTGCCCACTTTTTACGATTTCTTCCTGTTCTGAAATTGCGTCTCAATGTAGATTTTTTCGTGGAGGTGTATCGTAGAAGATTATTCTCACTCCTACTCCCGATGATTCCCTTGGGGAATACTTACTTAGCAGCGTAAAGTGGTCGTAAGCACGAACACTACATAACAAAGGTTTTCTCCACTCGCGAAAACCCTAGAACAGACCTCATAACGTCTGCAGTTGGTCGACTAGTAATTGTACTTTGAATTGGTAAAACAAAGCAGATAAATTCTGATTATTCCCGCTTCCCATCGCTGAGTATCGCTCCCGTGCCCGCAGCAAAATGTGTAGGACAGGAGGCCCGTCGCGCGGCGGAGTCGCCGCGAACGAGTCACAACGCGTACTGTAGTTGGTTTCTCTTCAACTCAAGTAGGAGGTACCACTGCACGTCCTGCATCACGCACCACGCTCGGCCGCGAAAAAAAAAGGGTTTCATAACTCTGCCTTCTTGCCGCGCGACGAGCCTCTGTCGGATACCCGAGCAAAATGCAAGATCAAAGGACGCTGTAGATGTCGTTGAATTCGCGGTCACAGTGTCAAGCGAGGAACCGCTCAGTGTAAATAACTCAAAACACATCTATCAAACTACTCATATACGAAGCAATGTGGCAGAGCAAAATGGAGTGAAACGAATAAAGAAGCGCTGGGTTTTGAAATGCATGCAAAACTCAGACTATTCATTTGTGACGGGTCGACACACTTTGATCAAATTGTTCGAAAATGTGCGAGGTTATCTGTTGTCGTTTTCTCACCTTTTGCAGAACATGTTTCCAATTTAATCAAGATTTCATAATTTAGTATCACCAAATTTTGTGCCAACTATGATACAACTCTTTTTCTATCATGTGTTCTTGGAGAGGTCTGTGAAGTCAGCTTTGATCTTCTAAATTTGCAAGGTGCCACCAGAAACTGTCCTCAGAGACGTGAATAAAGCCCCCCTCTCTGGGTGGCGCAATGCAAAACAGCATCGATTTGGGGCGGGGTGAACGGAGCATATGTATCGTGGATCCTTTGCGTCAGCACCTCAGCCTTGTCAACTCGTGACGCCAAGTGGGTACAATGCTCTGTGCTTGCGTTCCACTCCGTTTTTCTCGCGCGAGAGCTTCATTTCGTGAAATCCCTTTCTGTCTTTTGAGGCGGGGCCTTCGGTGAGAAGGTAGTCCATTGGAATCAAGGTAGAGGTGGGTCAGTGCTGCAGGGTATGAAGAAGCTGAGATGAATGCGGCCATAACCTGAAAATAGAAACTCATTTCCTGCCCTTGGTTCCATTCCTGCCCCTTTTGGCAACGTTATGCTAAAAAGTAGGGTACCCCCCAGGAGGCCCGTCGCGCGGCAAGAAGGCAGAGTCGGCGGACGAGTTGCAGCGCGTGATGTGCGATGTAGGACGTGCAATGGGACACTCTATTTAACTTGACGCGAAATCCCTATAGTGCGCGCGCGACTCGTCCGCTGACTTTGCCTTCTTGCCGCGCGACGGGCCTCCTGGGGTGTACCCAAACGGCTAGAGACCTGCGGCGATTGGGCGGTGGACGTGCCGCGCCAATAACGCGGCGAGGATAGCTGCGCTAAATCGCCGGTGCGTATCCTTCTTTCGGTCTGCACCTTTGGAGGGCCCGCCTTTCTTTCCACTGGGTAATTTTTGCTTTCTTTGGTTAAACTTGTCGTGGAATCCTCCTTCAATTGATTTTCTAACATGACTTATGCGAGGTATACGAGGACTTTTGCTATTAAGTGAATATTTTTGTTGCTTTTAGCAAGCTCGGTGATCCAATCTCTGACTCGTTAGTTTTTTGTTAGGAGGTTATGAAAATCTGCCAGTTGACGAACCCTTGGACGCAGGGGCATTTCTGGCTTTTGTCTGGAGCACAGTACAACACTTCATCCTCAAACTAATCAGGTTGTAGCACTTTGGGTATTATATCGTTATTTCGGTATTCGCAGCGTGAATTTGATAACTCTTTTTCTGGAATTTGGCTATTCGTAAACGCCTTACCTCACTAACTACCTTAGGAAGTTCGTGGCTTTAATGACCGGAGAATATCCACTCTGACGTGGGCAGTTATGAGTTTGGCCAAATGCGGTACCTTTCATAGCGAATGCAGCGCGTACGACGACACTCTCAACGTAGCTTTTACCACACGGTGAGCTAGAGGCGATGTTTTGTGAATACTCTCCCCACCTTTTCTGGAAAATTCTGGGTTCATCCAAAGAATAAATTGCCTCCTGGTTTTCTTACCAACACAATATTTTGTTTTCATGAAGAGCAACTTTGAAAATCCAGAACGCATTTTTGTAAGAACCCGTCAAGTTTTTGGTGGAATTTTGAGAAAGACCTGTGAAATATGACCGTTTATGCCAAAAGCGGTCCAGTTAGCCGCTCCGTGGCTGCGCGGTGCTTGCTGCTGCGCCCTGTCCCACCCAGTTTTACCTAGATTGTAACGGAATCATAGAAACTCTGATCACTACCGACTACAGATGAAGGTGTTTCCCGCATGTGAAGATTTTGGGGTGTTATCAGTTTTGTTCTAATTCTAGAATCTCTTGTCTCCACTCCCTGTCATTCCTTTTTTATCGTACGAGCTCCGATTATGTCTAACTTTTCGCGTTTCAGAGAAACTATCAGTGTCGCCAGGCCGTGCGGCGACGGCTGGTGCACTTCGACCGCCATCCACCAATCTTCGTTCAGCAGCACGAGGAAGCGGGTAAGATGCTTGTAGAAACGAATACATGTCTCAATTAGAAGTACTCTTTGTTAAGAGCGTAGGCAGAACCGGGGTAGTGGCAAGTAGCGCTCCTTACAACGCGAGCGGTCCGGGAATCAAATCTGGGTCGTGAGTCGCCCGGGCCAACCAAGCCTTCCATCCCTCCGGGGTCGGTTAATTGGTACCAGACTTGTCTGGGAGGATAAAAACACTGACTTGTACATCGGCTGGCCCTGCATCGCATTGTGTAGGCCATATCGCATCCGAGATCTGATTTATAGTGAAAGTAGCGCTTCCCTATACGGTATAGTGGAAGTGGCGCGTCCCTATACGAGATTGACCAACGCCTACTGCCCTGTGCTGTATTGTTAAGAACATCTTTTCCATAAAATTTTGTTTGGAGCGGCTCATTAAACGGTCGCTATCTGGTGATTCTGCGATCTCTTTTTTTGGTGATAGCTTTGAAACCCAGTAGTTGTCAACGATAAGGATTCATTGTTGGATTCAAAGCGATAGAATGCTTACCCAGGAAAAATGGTCCGGGCAACCCCAGAAAATAGGCAGAAGAGACTGTCTTGAAGCAGAGTGGGTTGTGGAGTAGGCAAAAAGAAACGACTCTGCAGAGAATTATCGCTCATTAAGCAGTCGATAAATTTTGAAGAAAGGAAACTTCGGAGCAGGACCTCACTTGCATAGCGATGTAGATCAAAGGGAATGGTGGGGTAATGGGAATCTGTCAGGATGACTATGTGGACATTTCGATGGTGCCCTTGTATACTAGTATAGGAACCGAGACTAGAATTTGGGCTAGGTAATGCTTTTGGTAGCCCGCAGGCAATGCACACATTGCTCCCATTGTTGTTGTTTTCATGGATTCGGGATCTTCCGTCCATTTCACAGACGTGCGCTCCTAGAAAGGATAATAATATGGCAAAAAGATGGTAAAAGAGCGCAACAATTTCATTGGAACCCGGCTCTGCGCGTGTTTTCGGTAGCATGTCAAAGAACAGCATTTTCGTCGAGAACTGCGTTATGTTTTCATAACACCAAAATATTTACTTGTTTTACCAAAGCATTTATTAATGGGATTTACAGAAACAACAATGGCTCAACGATAAGTTCGTCCAACTCGAGCTCAATCGCCTCGTCGTCGACGTACACATCGATTCCGGACGTGAGCTCTACGCCGAAAAAGAACGCCTCCACTTCGACGTCAAATCAGAAGATCGGCTCGGCGTCATCGTCTGGGAATCAGAAAACACCGTCGCTCGCCAGACCAGGACAGATTCAAGCACCGGCTGCCAAGTCGCAATTAACGTCTAAGTCAGCAATTACAAAGCCGTCGGCACTTAAGCCTCCAGCGACCACTACTGCACAAGGTTTGTCTATTTGCTAATGGAATTATCTATTGAATTATCTATTTGTTAATGGAGTTACAGCTCGTCAGTTATTTTAAAAAAGGAGTCAAAATCGGAGAGTAGTTGATTCCTACAACCCTTCACTGAATTCAACAACTCAATTTCTAGCGACTGATCCGGCTAATCAATCGAAAATGCTCAAACTGAAACTGTTCGGTGCAAAAGAGAAAGAGAAGAGGGACGCCTCTGCGCCCACAGCATCTCCAGTGCCGGTTAGTTTGACACTCTGTCTCCATAATTGGCACAGAATTGCCTTCTCAGAATATCTACTAGGATTTACAAGTATGACGTGACATCAGTTCCCAATATCATTTTCAGGTCAAGAAAGCCTCTAACTTGGCTCCACCAAGGTCAAGCGGTTTGGCAAAACCTAAGGCGACCGCAGAAATAAAAGCACCATCCAAGATCAGTGTTCCGAAGAAGAAAGAGGTATTGTTAATGATCTTACTCTCACTCCGACTCCTTAACCATTGTACTGATAAACAGGGTTTGATCTGTTGTCTAGTACTTTTATGAAAAACACCAGTATATCGCATCAGTGAAGACGTGCATGGCTGCAAGGTCATGCAGTGCACTTTAATCGTTACGTTTAAAGTAGCATAGGGCAGCAGTTGTTCGGATTAGGATTCGATGCGAATTTCTCCTCTAGTTGAGGCGATACGTGACAGCCCTGGCGCACACGAATTTCGGTAGGCTACTAACCAGTGCGATCAGTGTTGTGAAATGACGCCGAAAAGAGGTGCTCGAGTCTGGTCTCGACCGCTGCGACCGCTAGCCACAGTTACCGTTTAGTCACTGATCTCCTCACTCGTACGAGTGTGGCTCTGTAATAAAGTCTTCTCTCGGAAGCGAGAGGTCTCCTACGGGTCGACCCCGTCAAGAAAAAGAAGGTTTTTAACACTCTTTTTTTGCGTTACCATGTTTGTTATTCTTGTGGTGGTTCTCTCATTGATAGTCACTGTGCTCATTTCCCCCCACCTTTCGTTTCACGATTTGGGGTGTGCCGCGGCGATCGCAGTCGTGTTGATGATGCCCGCGGACTGTTGAGTGCTTTCAAATCTATCTGCACAGTTATCGGGCACCACCAACTCGCCCGCGCTCGCCGCGACCGCGCCCCAAATCGTGAAGAAAGTGGGGAAGCCGAGGGACCTCATTCCTCTTATTTTCGTTTCAGCGGAATAGCACACCAATTCGATAGCGAATCTCGTCTTCTCTCTTCCTAATTCGGGATTGCATCAATCTTGGCAGTAGTCTGCCAGCTCGTGGAGTTATTCGTCTTTATCGTCCCGTGGGAAAGCGTTCCCAACTACCGTGGAAAATCGTTCCCAACTACCGTGGGAAACGTTCCAACTACCAGCTCCGGAAAATCATGAACTCATAAACCTTGGTTGTTTTTCGATGCGCTCACTAGTGAAACGGTATCCCACTAGTGAACCTCTACAAGTTTATGACACAAATGTTCAGCTCTCGCACAGTCAGCTCATTTCATCCCATGGCCTGCTCACAGCCCATTCACCGAGTGTTTTGCCACTTCTTTTTCTCAGAGCGAAGCCTTTTTCAAATCAGCAACGGTTATTCTCGCAGAGAGTGCTGTTTTTGTAATGACCACCCAGCATTGCATTTGTCATTTGTAAGTGGAGCCAAGACGCGGCCCTCTCAGTAATGATTGGAAATGTCATCCTGGCTCGCAGCCTTTGTTGCAATGTGTCCCTATGGAGAAAGTCGGAGGCGAAGTTATTTGTCAGTGTCGAGCACGTTCCCCAGATCTCCTCACATGATATGCAGTTAGTCTAGTCTCGTTTCTAGTGCAAGACTGCTGCTCGTTACAGTTTTCAGTCAATTTGTATTTCTTCGAGAGTTTCTTTGCGGCTTTCCCTCACGCTTGGGTTAGAACAGCTTTGAAATGTGCTGCAGAAGTGTGCAGCTAGATGCTTCTTTGTAGTTCCACAAGATTGCTGGGTTATGAACAAGACATTCGCCCCGAGTGGGGCTCGAACCTATCTCTCGCTGCGCTACAAACGACATTGCTGAAGTATGCGACCAGTGGATGCTCTCCTGTATTCTTTGAACACATACTACATAGTATCCAGTATCCTACATAGTATCAGTAGCACAGCACACTATTCGGATCGCCTTATGAATTCGGGATTGCGTCAGTCTTGGCAATAATCGGCTGGTCTAGCCAGCGGTGGAATTTGCCGTGTTTATCTGTCGTCTTTGTATCTTGTCTTTGTTGTCTTATTTGTCGTTTTTGTATAGTTAGCTATCATTTGTTTGTAAATAGAAAGTAAAGATCATAGGTGAATATCACCACATTCAACCACTCACTTCGATTCCATAGTGGCGAAGTGGCGCTGCTTACCACGCGAGCGGTCCGGGGATCAAATCCTGGGTCGTGAGTCGCCCGGGCCAACCAAGCCTTCCATCCCTCCGGGGTCGGTTAATTGGTACCAGACTTGTCTGGGAGGATAAAAACACTGACTTGTACATCGGCTGGCCCCCGCAAGTCATTGTATAGGCCACATCGCATTCAAACGCCACTACGAATGTACAAATGGAAGTAGAATGCGTGCCGCATCCCAAAAAGGGATTGATCAACGGCAAATGCTTTATCCTTTATCC